TCATGAACTCTTTGATTTCCTACAACCTAACAACAAAACTATTCAGAGATCATAACAAACAACGAGCAAGTAGATAAAAATGAAATCATATTCATAGAAACTTAAAAAATCTAGAATTCTTCTCTATATAAAAAATACAAAGGTGGATCTTCTCCCTTAAAACTCTTGAATAAAGTAACTCTATGAATCGATCTCTAAAAACGTGGCTGTTGTATAATGTATTGTTAAGGGGTAAATTTTGTGGCGGCTCTTTTGCATTAAGAGGTTAAAAACAAGTATATATGGGTTTAGGGCTAAGTTTAGGACAAAATAGTCAATTTCGTTGAAACTGATAAAATACCGACAAAAAAACACTGGGAAGGAAACATGACCAGTGCTGGGGTCTTCTTGACGTCTTCACGCATGCTGACTTCGGGTTGGAACACCGACCAACGAGTTTGCATGGTGGTGGAGTCGTTTCTCGACTTGCTTCAGCTTCGAAATAGTTTGACATGTCTTTAATAATTCGGATGTATCTCTTTAAAAAACTTCAAATGATATTATTACAACTCCACTGAAAAGCTAATTCAAAGATATTTCTTGTCACCAAATTTCATCTAAATCCAATTCGATATGAGCCTTCATTTGTAGCTAAACTTTAGGTGTTTCTATGCTGTCCAACTTCGTAAAATATGATATCTTGTGAGTTTCTTGGCTTGGACGACATCTTTGACTTTTGTGAGTTTTTGTAACTTGTTTTTTTCTCCTTTTTGATCAATCTTCTATATATTAATTTAAGAGACATTTGGTGAAAAAATCATATGTCACTCAACATGGATTTTAAGGGATACAATAATTAAATTAACAAATCAAAACATTTTCATTAATTTTATATGCCATGTTGGAAACCTATGCATATTTACATTAATTTTTTAAGATTAACTCACATATACATGTGTTACAAATTTAAATCCAACTAAAATGTAACACTTTAATATTTTAAAAATATAACAAATATATCAAACATTATTACTTAAATTTCGAGAAATAATCGTTTTTCAAATTTTAATATTTCTTTTAGTTTTTTATTTGAAAAGTTTTTTACATACTAACACAATATTTTTGTTGGTTTGAAAGACCGATAATATCAAACGTATTCTATTTACATCATAAACCGCATACATTTAATTTAAATGTCATGCAAATTAAATTTTATAAAATATAATAT